CTGGCACCACCTTGTGCTCTCAGCGAACCTGAGCTTGAGTCCCTGCCTGGTTCACGATGAGGGTGTGTGTGAGGAGCCCTGTTCAGTGGGATCTCATGAGGCTCCTCATTTCATGCTCTGAGGACCCACCTCACCCGGACGGGTGGTGAATCACTCTCTAGGAAATCAGCAGGCTGAATAGGACGTCATGTTGCATTCGGATCCCGGGCCGCCTGGTCTACCTCCCAGTGGGGGAAAGAACAGTACCACTCTGACACTCGGGGATCAAAGCGACGGGTAGTAGCTTCTCAGGCCATGGATGTGTTTCTTAGGACATGGTCCCATGGCTTGGAAATCATATTTTGTTGCTATCTGGTTCGAGGACAAAATGAGGCCCTGGCAGCTGGTTTTTATGGCTTTCTATATAAGCTTTCAGACAAAATTTGTGCGGCATTTTGCTTGAGTTATTGTGGGGCTGGATTGTAAACCTCACACTGTTATTTCAGATCACATGCAGGCTTTGGCCACAATAAACAAGAGAGGAGGCACGGCTTTACATCTCTTGCGGATCAATTTTTGAGAGGTCTAAAATATTGACACAAATGATAAAGGAAAAAAAACCCAATCCACAATGAAAACAGAGCCTATTAAGACATGCATATAGTTTAATTTCCTTTTAGACCCTTGTAAATAAGTCAGAATTTAAACCTTGCCTTGGGCTTCCCCTAAATTTTACAAGAAGGGAAACTTTGGATCTGCCTCTTGCTTCCCAAATCTGGTTGGCCGGGTGCCCACTTTGCCCCGCTGAAGGGGACTCGTAACTGCGCAAGGCAGATGTTTCCTTTTTGCCAATTATTTCATAGTCAGATTCACCTAGAATTTAAATTCCTGGTTTGGAGAGGGGAAATAAACCACCAAGAAACTAATTTACATTTCGTATGGATTGGCGCTTCCAGACAGCTTGACATTGTCAAAATACAAATTGCCCCTTGGTGGCGGCAATAGCTAAAACTTTCCTTAAGATGAGGCTAATTCTTCAAAGTCATTTCTGCCCACCCCCCTCTGCGTTCCATCCAAACCCTACCCCATGTACAGAACACGTTCAGGAGGACACGTAGGTCTGTAGCATCAAAGTCAGCGTACGGTGTGCGTGTTCACGTGGGTATGCGTGCATGTTCTGTGTGATACATAGTACCTATCGTAATGCACGTTACATTTTACACAGGTTTGGGATAATTTGAGTAGAGTTTTGATGACTGCTTTTTCACTTAACACATCATAAGCATTTTCTCACGATGCTCCACATTTGTGGAAATCGTGGTGCTGGTGACCCGCTTCACGTCGCGCACACAGTATGACTTTCCATATCGACTTGGTTGTGTCCCTCGTGACAGGTTTTTATGTAGCTTCTGGTGTGTTGCCGTGATAAATCTTGCTTGTGCCATTCCTATTTGCAGTAGTGATCTCCTTTCTCATCTCTGGGTTATTTCCCTAGCACGATTGCTAGCATTACTGGGATGGGCATTTAATCCTTCCTTCCTCCCTCCCGCCCACCCACCCGACGCCCCTCCCTCCCTTCCTGCCTGCCTTCCTTCCTTTAAGTGTTTATTCATTCTTGAGAGACAGAGCACAAGCCGGGGAGGGGCAGAGAGAGAAGGAGACACAGAATCCGAAGCAGCTCCAGGCTCCGAGCTGTCAGCACAGAGCCCGAATCAGGGGTCACACTCACAAACGGTGAGATCGTAACCTGGGCCAAAGTCAGACTCTCAACTGACTGAGCCACGCAGGCGCCCCTGGGATGGGCATTTCTAAGGGTGTTAACGGTCAGTTTCCTAATTGTTTCATATACATTGGATGTGCCCACCTCCAGGGCTTGCCAGCTCCTTGGGGCAGAAATCGCATCTGTCTTGTCCCCGTGATGGCCCTCCACGCCACAGTGCTGGAAAGATGACAAATGAGTAGTAAGTAGAGTTTGATAGATAATCTGAGGAGTGCTGGGTAATAACTCTGCTTCTCCAGTAATTAATCTGACACAGCACTGGCCATATTGATGACACTTGAAAAGATCTTCCTTTCCTTCCCTCATTTCTTTCCTTCCTTTCCTGAGGTAGTATTGACATGTAAAAAGTGTATATATTTAAGGTGTGCAATTTGATGTTTTGATGTAAGTACTCATGTATATAATCACCACAACCAAGCTAATTTACATATACATGACCTCTACATAGCTAGTGTGTATGTATGTGTGTGTATATGTCTTTAAAATTAATTTAAAATCTGTGCTCTTCGCAAATTACAGTGTACAATACTGGATTGTTAACTGTGTCACATGCTCTATGTTAGATCTCCAGAGGTTTTTTTTTTATTTTGCATGATTGAACATTTGACCCACACTCCGCCACTTCACCTCCTGGACCCCAGCCCCTGGCAATCACCGTGCTACCCTCTGCTTCTCTAACTCTGACTATTTTAGGTTGCACAAGCAAGTGAGATTACAGTGTTTTGCAGAGAACTTGCTTTGCGAACACCTTCCTGGGGAAAAGACGCACCAGTCCCTACATGGTTGTATCTTTTCCGCAATTTCCTCAATACAATTGTGTCATCCTCTGGGCAAGGAAGGCTCACCAAGGACAGCCCTGAAAACGCCCCCAAATTAAATCAATAGAAAAGTGTATTTTGCACCCGGTGGCTCCATCAGTTAAGCGTCCGACTCTTGATTTCGGCTCAGGCCATGATCTCACAGTTTGTGAGACTGAGTTGCACGTCAGGCTCCGCGCTGACAGTGCGGAGCCTGCTTGGGATTCTCACTCTCCTTCTCCCTCTGCCCACATGTGCTCACATCTTCTCCATCTCAAAAATAAGTAAATAAACTATAAAAATGAGAAAAGTATATTGTGCAGAATTTGTAATGGCTGCAGAAAGAATGTTACCAGGAGGGAGCATCTATGGAGTGGTATTTATTTGCCGTTTATCGTCCGGCGATGCTACACTGGGAACACTCCATCCGGCACACATTTCTTCTTGCCTTGGCTCTAGGGCTAGAGATTTATTTCAAGGCAAGATAGAAGCCCTGTTTGTTTTTGGCCTGATTTGCCAAACTCTGGTTCCTGGTAGACTCTCTTTGTTATTATTTTTTAATGTTTTTAATGCTTTTATTTAGTTTTGAGAGACAGAGAGACAGAGTGTGAGCAGGGAGGGGCAGAGAGAGAGGGAGACACAACATCTGAAGCAGCTCCAGGCTCTGAGCTGTCAGCACAGAGCCCGATGTGGGGCTTGAACTCACGAACCGTGAGATCATGACCTGAGCTGAAGTTGGACGCCTAACTGACTGAGCCGCCCAGGCGCCCCCACTGGCGAACCCTCTTTTGTTTGAAAACTAAACTTGTTGGGTCTATGTTTTCCCATTTGAAAGTAACACACATGTGCCTGTATGTATACATACACACATACACATGCTTGTGTATATATATATATTTTAATTAAATAATACACAGTTGTGGCAAATTTAAAGAAAGTGGAAGTATAGATGTTAAAAGGCGAAACCTTTTCTCTTCGGTTCTATGGACACAGAAACATAAATATATACTATGTATATATGTGGGTATGTGTATAGGGAATCTTGAAATAATATCCAAGTAGGGTCATATACGATATGTTTATCATTTTTTATACTTAGTGACATATGATGGGCATTTTCCCAAGTATGTTTATGTAGCTCTACTTTCTTTTTCTTATAGCTGCCTGTTATCTACTGTAAAAATGTGCAGTTTGGGGGCACCTGGGTGGCTCAGTCAGTTAAGCGTCCTACTTCGGCTCAGGTCATGATCTCACAGTTCACTGGCTTGAGCCCCGTGTTGGGCTCTGTACTGGAGCTGCTTCCAATTCTGTGTCTCCCTCTCTCTCTGCCCCTCCCCTACTTGCGTTCTGTCTCTCTCTCCCAAAAATAAACATTAAAAAAATGTAAGAAATATTAAAAATGTGCAGTTTACATCATCTCCTTGGAATAAATCTTTAGAATGGTTTCAGCTAACAGGTAGCGATAATAGTACCAGTAGCAGCAGAGACTGGTTGGTGTTTTTGTGGGTCAGTACTGTCCCAAGTGCTTCATGTTTACTAGCTCGTTAATCCCCACAATACAATAGGGGAGAACTTGTGCTTACCTCCACTTTATATGAGGACATCTGAGGCACAGAGAGGTCAAGGTCAGTTGTTCAGGTTGTTCAGTCAGGAAGTGGCTGCACCAGGGTGCACATGGAGGCCCCTGATGCCAGCACCTGTGCTTCTGAATTTGTTCACAGAGCAATGTGTGGCCAGCATCCTTGTAGATAAATTGACGCCTGTGCATTCTCTCTAGTAATTTGGGAGGAGAGCTTTCTAGAAGTGGGAGTGCTGAGCCCTAGCGTTGCCCTCACTTCAGTAAGAATTACGAGATATCTGGGGTACCTGGGGGGCTCAGTCAGTTAAGCGTCTGACCCTACATTTTGGCTCAGGTCATGGCCTCACTGTTCGTGAGCTCGAGCCCCGCGTCGGGCGCCGTGCTGACAGCGTGTGGAGCCTGCTTGGGATTCTCTCTCTCCCTCCCCCCTTGTCCAAAATAAACAAACACTAAAACATCGTCTTAAAAAAGTTATGGAGATGTCCAAATGTCCATGTAGATGGCGCATCTGGGAGGGATGGGCAGAAGTGCATCAAAATTTCGCAGCTGTAGCAGGTCCTCTACGAGGCGCGTAGGCCCAGGCGGGCACAAGAGCTGTGCAGCCCACCATCTGTAGGGTGACTCCACGACGACGGCTGCGGTCTGTGAGCCGGGCCTTCGGGGCGAAGTGTACAGCTGCGGGTTATTGGCTTGGTGGCAAATGGGCTCCTTCCTACTCAACACCGGCTGTTTTGGAAGAGTCCCCAAGAGCCGTGTGCAGGGGCGCGGCGTGGCCGGGGGGCGGTTTGCCGGGGCGGTGGATGCAGAATGCCGCACACGCTGGGGCCCGGCCTTCATTCTTCCTCTGCTTTCCTTTCCCGCACAGAGACCGAGAGCCGGGGGATCGTGGACAGCCTCCAGAGGTTCTCCTCGCTCCCTGCCTACCTGCCCACGAGCCTCCACATCGCCGATGCGGAGGAGGCCTTCTTCCTTAAAGAGGCCAACCAGGACGTCACGAGGAACTCCAGCCTGCGGGCTCGGGTGGAGTCGTTCTTCATCTACCGGGCCAGGAGCCCCCCGACCGTCAATGCCACCTATGGCCCGTTTTCAACAGAGAAGACCATCCCCCAGGGGCTCTTGTTGACTTCCACATCCTTTGGAAACATGGAGAAGTTTCCCTTCAACTGGAAGCTGAAATCTCACCTCCTCGACAGCTCCATCTACTCCAACAGACCCAAGGTGCAGACCCTGTTCTACGTCACCGGGATGCGCTGGGATGACGGCGACCCCGAGGAAGAGCTGCCGTGCGTCAGGATGTTCGCTTTCCCCGAGGCCAGGGAGGTGGCGGCCAGCTGCCGGCTGCAAGGGGCCCCGGGGCTGTGCGTGGCCGAGCTGGAGCTGCTGCCCGAGTGGTTCAGCTCCGGGCTGGACCTCGAGCCCGAGGAGGAGATCCCGGCCCTGCTTGGGGGCACCACCATGGAGCTCTTCTTCTCGCTCTACCCGGCCGACCAGGCCGGCCAGTGCCCGCCGGAGGAGGACGGGAAGTGGGAGAACAACGCCCACTCCGGCCAGGACGGCCCCCAGCAGGTGTTGCCGGCCCGAGAGAGGGTCGGGAGCGTGGTGGTCTACCCGACTCAGGACGACCTCAGGTGGTCCCTGGTGAGCCTGGATGAGAACGTCGTCGTCTCGGTGCCCCTCAACCTCGTCCGGGAAGGGGACACAGCCACCTTTTTGGTCTCCCTGACCAGTGGCTCTGTGGCAGACCACTTCACTCTCAGGTACGTGGCTTGGCCGGGTTGGATGGAATGGAAGTCAACGTTTGGTCAATGAAGGGTCAGTTAGCAGCGTGGTGTTGAGCATCTGCTGAGTACCCAGGGTCGTGCGGACACTGACAGGCACGGGACAGGGACCCAACTCGTGTGAGATGACAGAGTAAAGCAGGATATTTGGGGGTGGGTCCTGGGCATCTGCATTTTCTACGAGCCCCCAAGAGTATTCTGTTGTGAAGCCAGGATTAAAAACAAGTGCTCTGAGAGCAGCATTTCAGGCTAGGAGGTAAGCTGTCACATGACACTCTGAATCTGTCGCTGCCGGCCTTGACTTGGCGGGTAGAATCCTATCTATGCTGCCCGTGGGTGGAAACTTTGTCAGTGAATTCCAGCTTCTGACTCCACAAAAGAGCTTTATAAGATAATGTCTTCAACCTCTCAGGTTTTGTTTTCATCAGTGAAGTCTCCTTTGGTCAAGCCAACCAGCAGTCTCCACCTGTATGATGAAGACTCAGTCTTAGGATTGCAGAAAGTGCGGGGGCTTCTCTGTGCTGGGAGACAAACCTGTCTTTGGCTTAGTTTGCTCCCAAAGCTTTGTGGGATACCAGTCGGGTCTGTGGCTCTGCCCTGGGGCAAGCCATCTAACTTCTCTGGGCTTCTGTTTCCTCATCGGTAAGGTCGGGATAATGATGGGCCGTGTCTCTCGGCGTTGCGGTGGGGATTAATCAAGTTAGTGAAGCTTCTGGAATGATGCCTGGCATGTGGAGAGTCCTCACCAGCTGTTAGACTGTTGCTATCTCCCTAGTGCTCGGAGGCTGGGGTGGTGCTAAGTCAGGCTTGCTTTGTTTGGTTGCAGGTGAGAAGTGGGGATTAATCGTTAATGGTGCACTGTGGTCCTTCTGATTCTGACAGAGGCCGATGTGCCAGATCACACCTGTTTGCAGGTGTGTTCGTTGAGGCCAATAGGATCCCGAGGCTGTGGCAGATCCCAGGAGGCTTTTAGTAGCCTGCGGGAAGCATGGTTCCTATTTGGAGCCGCTTGAGTTAGTTTTGGTGATAAGTGTGTCAGAACTTAGTTTGGACCCAGTCTTGTGCTAGTTATTCCAGTGGTGGGGCTGGTGTGGTCTAAAGCCCAGTTCTGCTCTACAGAGATTCCTGTGCTTCAGATGTTTGTGATAGACCAAGAATGGCACAGGTCTGGTTTCTGCACTCATACCACTGAACGCACTCCTCCTGACCAGGCAGACATCACCAATCGACTGCAGCACTGATCACACTCACCTGCCCAGGCAGACATCACTAATCGACTGCAGCACTGAGCAGGTGCTCCTGTCCAGGCAGACATCACCAATCGACTGTAGCACTGAGCACATTCTCCTACCCAGGCAGACATCATTAATCGACTGCTGCACTCCAGGGCTCCCTCCGCCATGGCAGACAGTGTTAATGGACCGCAGCACTGAGCCTGGGAGTGCCTGCAACCCCAACCAGTCCGTGGGAGGTGGCATGCTTGACATTTAACTTATTTGCCATCCTGGATGTAGAGAGAACATCACTGGGCGAGAAGTTTGAGGAAGGGGAGAGCCGACGGGCTGGAGGTCAGGGAAGCCTGGTGGGAAAGGCGTAAACAGGACTACCTAACTGTGATGGAGGACAGAGCATGGTCTGGGCCACATTCTAAGTTGTTGACATGTGTGAACTCACGGGACTCTGACAACAAACAACTCAAGGCAGCGAGTTCTACCAATATCCCTATTTTTCCTGAGGCACAGAGAGGTTAAGTAGCCCGCCCCAGGTCACACGGCGAGAGAGTGGCGAGTGTGCAGTGGTCAGCTCTGGAAGGCTCTGGGCACCCTTCGTTCCCTCACAGCCTCCCCCCCTTACTGCCTGGCAGACAGGATGGGCAGCTGTGCTCCCTCACCGCCATGGCAGAGCTGAGGGTTAATTTAGGGAAGGGGAGGCTGACGATGCTGGAAGAGGACTCCATGTGGAGAGTGCAGAGGGCCCGAGGCGTCCTCGAGTCGGCGAGCAGAAACCTTCAAGCCTGCCTCCTGCCAAAGTCGATTTGAGAGCTGAAATGGGCTCTTGCAGGGACTTTGCCTTGGGAGGTCGAGCATGAACTGTAGGTGTGGAAATAGACTTGGAAAGTTTAGGGGTTACCTGCTGAAGTCACCCGGTGGGTTTAGGGGTTACCTGCTGAAGTCATGAGGTGGGGAACTACTGGGTTTCGGGCATTCGTGAATCAGGAGCTCCCATTTGAAACGCTCTTCTGGGCTGTTCTGCATGTCTAGTTGGGGACCGATCTCCACCTATTGAACCAGGTGGGTCAGCATCGGGTCTCCTGTCTCCCCGTGTTCCTATGTAGGACTGCTCTTTATTACCTTTGTTTCATGGCCAGGGAAAGAGTGCACTGAAATTGTGCATCACCCCACTGAGAACAAAGGAGCTGATTAGTCAGAAGTTGCTACACCAAGGGGGTCAGTCACCATCGTCTCTGTTTGGCGGGGACTCAAGGGTGGGTGGGAGTTGGGGAGCTTGTAGAGGAAGCTAAGGAAGGCTTGGGTTGGAGGCTGCTGGTGTGGGGAGGCTGGAGGTTGGTTAACAAGAACTGAGCATTTTCTACGGTGGCTTTTTCTGCCTGGACCGGAGTTGGAAGCAGAAGCAATCAAAAGGGAAGCTGGCAATCATGCACCGAGTTCAGACCTTTCCGGGCTGATGCCTGCAGAAGCTGTGGTCTGGCTTTTTGTCCTGGTCACTGTAAGGTGGTGGGTCGGACTTTTATTATTGTGTTTGGTCTGGCATTGCCCATTTGTATATTCAGTCTCTCAAAATAAAACACTGTTTTTAGGCCTGGGGAAATGTGTTATTTCCCAACATAACTGATTGTCTGTTTTAATCATGTCTTTTACGAATGAAATGTGACATATTTCATTCTGGCTCGGATGAGGCCCTGGATTGAAGCATGAATGTGTGCAAGATTTGCTGAGATCTAATTTCAGAGCTGAAGAAGCAGGGGAAGGGGGCAGATGTGTGTGTTTTCACGTGTCCCGCTGCTGTATTTCCGACCGCATGTTGTATCAGGGCCAGTTTGAACAAAAGTTGAGTTGATTAATCTCTAATACTGAGATAGTTTCTGTTAAACATAAGTATCTAAATCTAGCCCTGCCTTGAAAAGCCTTTCAGCAAAGGGATAGTGAAATGGTGTGCGGGGGCCAAAGGCTGCTGGCGAGGCGGTACTAGGCTGGGCTCAGGTGGAGCTTTGTTTCACTTCCAAGAAAGTTTGAGATACTCTGAAACTTTCCCCGCTCCAAATGTAATGTCCCTGAGCCATCCCGGAAACTGTATGCCTGATTTATTAAAATAGCTCAGCTCCCACAGAGAGCCTCTTGGGCCGACCTCCCATCCCGTTGAGCAGTGGTTAAGCTTGCGGACTCTGGAGCCAGCTTGCCTGTGTTCGAATCCTGCCTCCGCCACCTAGCAGCTGTGTGACCTTGGGCAGGTTACCTAATCTCTCCAAGCCGTAGTGTCCCCATCTACAAATGGGGACAGTGTTTGCTTTGAGTGACTATGAAGCATCAACTTTGTGCTCAGATAGGGTATTCCATCATCATTCTGGTTGCTGGGGCCAAACCCCTAATAACTGTGATTGACTTTTGTCGTTCTCTGATACCCTCTGTATGAATGACAGCAGACCCTGGGGGCTACCTTCCAAGTATCCGGAATCAAACTTCCTCCATCGCTGTGACCCAGGTGTGAGGCAGGGTCCCCACTCGGCTGGACCCTCCAAGAGCCTGCCCACCTCCTCCTTTGTGCCCTGAAGTCTCTTCCTGAGCAAAAGCCGGAGTCTTTCCACCCACCCAGATCATCGGGCTTTGTCATCTCCTTGAGCTCATCTGCCACGACTCTCCCCCTCACTCCATCAGCAACAGCCACCAGGGTTCTAAAGGACGCAGCCCCCTCCCCGTTTAACACTGGGTCCCCATCCCACTGCCCCCGGCCCTGCTCTGATTTTTGATGTATCACTTGTGTCAGTGACCTAACATATCATTATTAATGGCTCACCTCTTCTGGCTAGAATGTGAGGTCCATGAGGCAGGGACTGTGATCTCCTTTGATGTGTCCTAGGGATCTAGAATGGTGCCTGGTACACAGTAAACATCTGTTGGGTGAATAAATGAATTTGGAGGCATTTCAAAGCATTGTTCTTGGACAAAGGGTATGAAATGTCAGGACTGTATGAATTCATGATGTAAATAAATAAGTTTCATCAATATTGAAGGTTTATGCTTTGAGTCTCCAGTTCTGGCAAGAGGGTCCTCTTGGCTATAATGTGGGAACGGATTCACCATTTCTTTTTTTTTTTTAATTTTTAAATGTTTTTATTTATTTCTGAGAGACATACACACAACATGAGCAGGGGAGGGTCAGAGAGAGAGGGAGATACAGAATCTGAAGAGAGGGAAGACAGAATCTGAGCTGTCAGCACAGAGCCGGACGCGGGGCTCGAACCCATGAACCATGAGATCATGACCTGAGCTGGAGTTGGACGCTTAACCGACTGAGCCACCCAGGCGCCCCCGGATTCACCATTTCTAATCAGACTTCAGTAATTTCCACATCACCTTTGGAATCTTTTTTGTCATGTTAGATACCACTGTGTTCTTCCTTTGTAAGTCAAGTCATATCTGTGTGCCTTCGTGCACTTCTTATTTACTGTTTTTCTTTAAAAATTTTTAATGTTTATTTATTTTTTATAGAGAGACAGGATATGAGCAGGGGAGGAGCAGAGGGAGACACAGAATCCAAAGCAGGCTTTAGGCTCTGAGCTGTCAGCACACAGCTTGACGTGGGGCTCGAACTCATGAACCATGAAATCATGACCTGAGCTGAAGTTGGACGCTTAACCGACTGAGGCCCCCAGATGCCCTTTTACTATTTTTCTTTAAATTAAAAATACTTAAAAACATATATATATTTAAAAAGAAAGCTAACATTTGCCACTGTAAATG